AATTCACTATAAATCTATAATCTTACCATAATCTATTATAATTTCATTATAATTCTATAATAAGTAATAAATCGAATATAATAAATAATAAATAATAAATAATGTTGTCGTAATTTATTATGATTTTATTATAATTCTATAATTTTATCTGAATTTTTTACATTGAAATGAAATAAATCATTAAAATTTATACAAATATATTTCCATTTAAATAAATGTCAGCATTAATTTTACCAAAAGCAACTATACGTTTTTAATAGTGTTAAAAGCAACAACTCTAGAACCCTTTTTCCTAGTTTGGTAGTATAATTTCAAGATTTTTAGGTGTGAAAAGAACCATGGAGATGAAGTGATCTCTAATCGTTTTAATAACACAGCTTCTTCCAATTGTGTGAAACAGCTCGCATAATACGTCTCACGAGACTGTAGATAAGAAATTGTAACATTGCAATTACTGCAACAATGAAGTGTGTAAGAGACCAAGAGTCGAGCTTTTAAAAAAAGAATTCTACAAACGTTTATTGTGCCTCTGTAGATGTAAAATATCGCATCGGATGTAGAATTTCAACAGCTGACAAGGAATACGAGAATAAGAGATGACAAAATATGTAAACGATAAAGACGAGAAGACCATAGATGCGATAACAGACACTACCCACTGCTGTAACAGTGACGATGTCACAACTTTCCGTCCTACATTCCATCCCGCACAAAACCTATTACGTACATGTATATGTATATCATATACAAATGATTTCTACTTCGACAGCCGTTGATAGAAAGTTTGGACTGGAAACAGATGCAAATCTAGATGTTAATGTTCATAGATGGACAGGACAGATGCGAAATAGGTGCTGTAGGATGTATAGGATATGACATAAAATTTTTCCTCTTTTTTTCTTAATTAATGCTTAAGTAAATGTATAATTTGCCACGTGGGCATTTGATACATATCTTATGTTAGTGTTGAACTTAAAAACGTGTATATTGCTTCTATCTGTGTCATCAGAACGAGTAATTTTCCTACGAAAATTATTGTGACATATACGCAATAAGTTAAAATAACTGGTCCCAGACATTTTATTTTTAATATTATACTGTAAATAGTGTATGATTTATATTCATATTTAGTGCAGCATATTTTATATTTATATTTAATTTGTATTTAATTACAGAGTAGTAGTTTTAATGTTAATATGAATGAAATTACTTCATATGTAGTTACTTCAATGTTAACAAATGCATACGCAAAGCGGATGTTATGTAAATGCATATTTTTCTGAGAAATAGATGAAGCTATAGGACCTAAAGAGAAATTTATTTTGTCATTAGAGGATTCTAAAGACAGTTTTTTTTATATACTTTATGTATTATATATATTTTACACTTATACATATGTTTTGTATAGGTACATATTTCTTGCATAAATGAATAAAAAATTATACATAAACGCTATTTTTATAAAACTTAATACATATAAATATATTAGATATATGCTTCATTCATTTAGGTCGTGCATTTTCAAGCTTTATTGCAAAATAATAAATAATTTTTAACATATTGTTAAATATGTTTGACT